CGGCGGCCGCCCCGGGCACCTCCCACCGCGCCGGGGCCCCCGCCCCTCCAGGAAGGGGAGGAGGCGGCGCGCCGCCGAGGCCGAGCGACCCCCCCTCCCCCGCCCCCGAGGTGGACGCCCCCCGCGAGGACTCGGGTGCGGAGCCCGGCGCGAAGGTAACCGGGCGGCCGCGGGCCGGGGAGGGGCCGCGTCCCGGGGGCTCGGCGGCGCGGGGATGTTTCCTCAGCCGCCTCGGCGTGTGCAACGCCCAGGTACCTCCCCCAGCCGCGCTCCTGCCTCCCGCTCCGCTGCGCTCTGCGGTGCTTCGGTGCCGCGCGCCCCGGTCTCCGTGCTTTGCGCTCGCTGTGCTCGGTTGCCGTCCGTCCGTCACCCCGCTGCCTCCGACCGCTCGTCTTCTCATTCATTTCTCCCTTCCCCGACTTGGGTCCTTCCCTCCGAGCATGCTGTCTGGTTACCTCCCTGCTTCTCGCGCTCCGCCGGGCTCCCCAGTTCCTTGACTTCGGTGCCCCCTCCTGCTTGGCTCCCTACTCTTAGAATGTCCATTTCCCGTTCGCTCCGGGCACGGCACTGTACCCACCCCCTTCCCCCCCGTGTGTTTGGTTTCTCGCTGGTTCTGCGTTTTCATCACGGTTCTGTCGAACAACCAACCCCTGGGAGGCTTCCCTAGGCACCCCCAACCCCTGCTTCTCGCTCCATTCTTACTGCAACAGAGTTTTACACTCGGGGATCCTGACTTCTTCCAACACCTGACCCAACAGGCCCGATACTATGTCCACCTCAGTATTACTGTTGAGTTCCCTCCCATCCGTGTGCCTCTATCCCGGTAGAATCCCTACACACCCACATCCAATGGTGGGTGGTACCTTGTAGGCTGGCCTTCCACCCTTCTCCCCGTTTCTACTTTTTAAGTCAGTTTCCCTCTAAACTGTTATCTTCACTTCTCATATTTAATCTGGGACTCACAACATTAATTGAAAAAAAAATGAAAAAATTAAAAAAATATATAGATTGTTTTTTGCCTGCGAGGTCTTTGATGCAGTTTTCCTGGTGGAAAGATTTTACAATTGGCTCTTTTCTGTTTCATGATCTGGGGAAAATGAGGGAGTCATCGAATTTGTGAACATTTTTGAGACAATCCTCTATTGCAAGTAACAGGATCTTATGTGTGAGTCCAGTGAGATAAGTCCAGTAATCGATACAACTGTGCCATGCTGCCTCTAATCCTTACCCGCTTTTTTCTTCACATGCTGATATTGAGGATTCATGGGTCTGTATCTGTTTAGTGCTTTGATATTTTGGCAAAAGGTGTGGGGAGAAAGGTAGACTGAAGTTGAAACTGATAAAATATACTGTATGTACCTCTTCCATTATATCCACGTGTGGCATTTGTTCTTTCCTAAAATGGGGAGAGTCTGATGGGGAGACGTTGATGCGATGAGGTGATTCATGCCTGGAGAAGAATTAGGAGAGAACCCAACTTTTAAGTACCAAGGCCAAGAGTTTGACTTCTGTTCTTTGCTTGTTTAGGATGCCTTCCTGAGATAAATTCATCCAATGAAACTATAGACAGCAGAAATTTTGGTCGGACATTTCTATGCCTAAGCCAGGGAGTGCTTGATAACCTGATCTTTCTAGTGGCCCAGTGTTTCAGAAGTAAAGAATATAGTGTAACAAAAGAAAGAAAAATGAGGAGAAAAATAATGTCATTGTAATATATACAGTGTAGCAAAAGAAGGAAAAATGAGAAAACTAATGTCATTGTAGTACTGCATTAGAAGAATGTTTCTATTTGCTTCTTAATGATTCTTTTTTGACTCATATGTATTTTATTTGTTTTTGCTAATTATAATGTAGCTTCCAGAGGGTAAAGTTTTATATCTTAGTAAAGTTGAAATTTTTTTTTTTTTTTTTTTTGTTAAAATGTTGCTTAATGTTACTTGGGAGTATGTAACAAATTCACTTTGTTACCTTATTTGCTAGTAGGGACACTGAAGTTTTATAAGGAGAAGTGACACGCCGGAGGCTTTAATTAGTAGCTTGGCCTGCAGCCAGTCAGCTACTTTGGATATGTGGCTGGTGGCCTAGCTCCTCTGTCCCCAGCATTTTTCCTCTTCCATCCTGTCCACTGTGTCTACCTCATCAGTATCTCAGGGCTCTCCTCCAAGACATGAAGATAATGAACACCCTCATCGAGTGACACTGTTTTAATGACAGATTGTTGTTGTTGTTGTTTGCTTTTTTGTTTTGGGAAGAGACACAGTATTGTAAAGACTTGATGCACAAAGTCCTTGTTTCCACTGTTATAAAATGGGGACAATAACATTTACATTGTAAAAAACATAGCACAGGTGAAGGGTTTAGACCAAAGGAAAGGAGGCAGCTAGAGGCTTCACGGGGGGAAAAGGTGTCTATTGTTACAATGATAATGATATGATGAAGGTAAAAATAAGAGTTAAGTTTTCAGTGGGTCAATTTAAATGTGTTGAAAAGTGCTGGGGGCCTTAAGGTGGCTTAAGTATTGTAAGGTGGCTTGCTATAGTCTGGTCATTGTATTTAACAGTAGCCAGGAGGGGTGTGTAAAGGTTTTTTTTTTTTTTTTTTCTTTTTTTCTTTTGAGACAGTGGCTAGCTTGAAAAGATGGTAGAGTGAGGAAGATACTATTACAGATTTGGGAGTTCTAAGACCTCAGAGGAAGATTCTTAGAAAATTTGTGGACTTACTGTGGTTTTGAATGATAATAACATGAAATGATATTTTAGGTTCGAGGCATAACTTTAATCCTTTGCTGATTCCCGTCTAGGGCTTGAGTCAGAACACCATTCTTGGGGACCCTGGAACGCTATCATGGAGACTGAGAGCGAGCAGAACTCTAGCTCCACCAATGGGAGTTCCAGCTCAGGGGGCAGCTCTCGGCCCCAGATAGCGCAGATGTCCCTGTATGAACGGCAAGCCGTGCAGGTGAGGCTCAGTTGAATGGCCAAGGTCTGTGAGTATTGGCTTGGGTTAGGCAACGATGCCAGAAGGGCGTCACCCTCAAGTTTTTTTCTGAGTTGGTAGAGAATGAGCTTTCTTCCACTTCAGAATCTTAGCAGCTGACAAAGTTACTGCAGGCAAACCCAGAATGAAATTCGGTCGTTTTGTTTTGTTTTTAGCCATGTACCAAGTTCAAAGCCAGCTTGGGTGACTTGTGAGAACCTGCCTTGGAATAAAACTACAAAGAGATAGAGCTGGAGAGTGTGGTTCATTGACTGAATTCAAATACTGTAGTTCACACATGAATAAATAAGGTTCAGTCTGTTAACTGGGTTTTAATTAACTGCTTCTGTTCATCGGTTAAAAGTGTTTATTTACTATTTGTATGTATGTCTGTAATGTTGCAATGTGGAGGTCAGAGAACAACAACTTTTGGGTTTTGTTTCTGCTGTGCAGTATATACAGGTCCAGTTGGCTCTGGAGCTTCTGTCTCCATCTGGGTCTTTTTTATGGTTTTTCCAAGATAGGGTTTCTCTGTGAATCCCTGACTGTCCTGGACTCACTTTATAGACCAGGCTGGCCTTCAGAGAACCACCTGCCTCTGCCTCCCTGAGTGCTGGGATTATAAGCGTGAACCACCACCATGCCTGGCTCATTTTTTTTTTTTTAGGAGTGCTGGGATTACAGATGTGCACCGCTGCACCTGGCCTTTTGTTTTTGGTTGTTCTGAGGCTTGAGCACAGGCTTGTGCTGCAAGTGTTCTTTTCCATAGCTCTCTCTCCTGCTCCAGCTGTCAAGCTTTTAGGTTTGAGCCATCTAAACTACTGAGTAATAGAAGTATCATGGACCGTTTTAAGACATTTACTTTCAGACAGATAGCAAATTCCATACTTCAAATATCCTGTTTGGGATTTAACTATTTTTCTTAAAAGATTTTGTAGAACAATTGTAATAATTAATGAATAAGAACATAGCAAAATCCAGTTGACATTAAGATGATCACTGTCATTTTTATAACTAGCCATTGAAGTTGTACATAGATATTTTAAAATGTCAATCAGTTGAGAGTTCTGCCTGATAGATTTGTTCAGAAGTCATTACTGCTTTTCTGTCATCTGTTTCTAGACACGTACAGATCTGTTTCTCCATGCTACACACCTTTTACTATTAACTGGTGTCTTTTTTTTTTATACAGACAAGACTTACTCTGTTACCTTGGCAGGCCTCCAGCACAGTAATGACGAATTAGATTATGATCTTTCAGCCTCTGTCTCCTTTCCTGACTCCTTTCGGGACCGTTACAGTGATGCATGCACATAGGAGTTAGAGCGATTGTTCTGAGCATTGTGTCCTGTCTTCTAGGCTTTGCAAGCACTGCAGCGGCAACCCAATGCAGCTCAATATTTCCACCAGTTTATGCTCCAGCAGCAGCTCAGTAATGCCCAGCTACACAGCCTGGCAGCTGTTCAGCAGGTGAGAGGTCAGCAGCCAGCTGGGACAGGAGGGAGGGGTCAGGCACTGCAGATTTAGGGTAGGGGAGCAGTTTGGGGTAAACCGCATCCTACACCAAGGTTTTCTATGCCTCCTGTGCTCTTATAGGAAAGGAGTAAAGATTGTTCTTAGATTCTGAGGTTGCAGGGGGAACTGTGGGAGCCTTTAAAGATGGAATAGCTGTGTTGTGTACTTGTTCTGTCTAATATGTTAGCTGCCAGCCTTATGTAGTTATTGAGTTAGTTGAAATGTGGCTAGTTCAAATTGAGGTAAGATTTTAGAAGACGTCCATTGCCAAAAGAAGGTAAGAAATCTCAATAATTCCTATATTAGCTTAATATGAGATGATAATATTTGGGGAAGAGGTGGATCTCTGAGGTAAGAGCATGAACCATAAATGTATAAAACTCTGGGTTCAGTCCCAGCCCTCATCCCTCTCCAAATGATAATATTTATTTGTTTGTATTGTATTACATAAATTAGTGAAGCTTATATCATCCCGCTTACTACTTTCTAAGTATTCATAGTAGGAAATTATATATGTGGCTCATTTGATGTTGTATTGGACAAGTCTTCATTAGATTTATCAGTGACTCATGGAGTAGGACAGGTTGTCTATCTGCCCTGATGTTTCTAGGCAGGCTTGTATGGTCATGTGACATTACACAGATAGTGATGTATTCTCTTCTTACTCCAGCATTGAGTCTCAGTTCTCACCTGAAATCTCCGTTTTGTGGAATGTGTTGGTACTAGAGCAGGGGGAGACAGCCTTTTCACAGTTTCTGTTATGCTTCCCCTTGACCAGGCCACGATTGCTGCCAGTCGGCAGGCAAGCTCTCCAAACAGCAGCAGTGCGCAGCAGCAGACGGCTACCACCCAGGCCTCGGTGAGTGCTGTCTGTCAAGGTCTGAGTTTTGCAAGGATCTGAGAAAGTTTATCGTGTCCTCAGTGGCTGTTTATTGCTCCTAAGTAGAGTTTGGCAAAAACAAACAAACAAACAAACAAACAAACAAAAAACAGGGAACCTGTTTGAATCTGTGTAGGAGTCTTTGTTTTCAGACAGGCTTTCCCTAGCTAGTCCTTCCTGTCTTTGTGCTTACAGTGATCCTCCTGCCTCTGTCTCTTGAGTGCTGGGATTATGGACATGTACTACTGTGTATGACTTTTTAAGAGTCTGTAAGTGGGTTAGCCTAAAGATGACGGAGAAAGTCTCAGGGAAGAAGAAATAACACATGAAAGGTTGCTTTTTCAGAAAGAAAGAAAACCTGTTCCATTTCTTTGCTTTGCCTGCTCACGCATTAAAATCGGTGATTGTGGGTTTGCCTTCTTTTTGATTGTTTGTCTGTTTCCTTTGGCAATACTCCAGAGTAGCTAAGATGACAGTTTTGGATAGGACGTTATTATTTATGTCCCTTGACTACATGAAAGTAATATCCTGTTCTCTGAAGTTGTCAGTTGTGTATGCTTTCTTCGATTTCTCCTCAAATCCTCAGTCCCGGTTTCTTTCTGTACTGTACAGATCAACCTGGCGACCACATCAGCTGCCCAGCTCATCAGCCGATCCCAGAGTGTGAGCTCTCCCAGTGCCACCACCTTGACACAGTCCGTGTTACTGGGGAACACCACTTCCCCACCTCTCAACCAGTCCCAGGCCCAGATGTATCTGCGTGTAAGCCACAGCCGCAAGCACCATTGTCCTAGGGGCAGCGTTCATAATTTGTCTTCCCTGGCAAAGAGTGAAAGTATTTTATATATTTATTTTTTGTGGTGCTAGGGAGGGAACTCAGAGCCTCATGCATACTAGGCAAGTGCTCGGTCCTTGGGCGATACCTTTAGACTGAAAGCGGTTTTGTTTAATTCTGGTCATCAACATGTTTTAAGACAAGCTGATCTATTCCCCATGCCTACCTAGGCTAGAACAGAGCTTTAGATAGCATTGAGATCCTTTGCTGGAAGAGGTGGCATTGATACTTGATTAGCCAGTGGTCATGTAGTCTAGCCTCTAAATGTGCGACTGTGTCCACAAATTCCAGGCATCTCTCCGCTTATCTGTTTCTGTGTAGAACTGTGTGCTCTAAAATCCTCGTTGTCTGAATGTCGTCATGTCACTCTTTTGTTACCATTCGTCGTCTTCTGCAGTCTAGGTTTTCTCTGGATTTCATCACATTTGGAGAATGAGTGGTTGGTGTGGAAAGGGGCAGGCTCAGTTGTTTAATATCTGCTGTTTATTTTGTCTTGTGGTCCTTTCCTTCCATTTCTTCTGTCTCCTCTTTTCTTCTTTTACTCTCCTTCCTCTTCTCTCCGCCAGCCACAGCTGGGAAACCTATTGCAGGTTAACCGGACCTTGGGCCGGAATGTGCCTCTAGCCTCTCAACTCATCCTGATGCCTAATGGGGCAGTGGCTGCAGTCCAGCAGGAGGTGCCGCCCGCTCAGTCTCCTGGAGCTCATGCAGATGCAGATCAGGTCAGTGGCGACCACTCACTGTGGAGAAGCCTGGGAACATGCAGGGGATGACCGCAGGCCAGGCCCCACACTCTGCCCCGTTAGTGGTTTTTATAATTCTTACTTTGTGTGTGTTTCAGGTTCCCTTTTCTCAACTCCAAGTCCCTTAAAACTACTAAGTTGATTTGAGCTAAAGAAAGAAGTAGAGTCACCTAAGAGGATCCCCATGGATCTGGAAGTCTTACAATACAAGTTGATTTTTTTTTTAAGGCATCCTTTTGTCCTCTGTAGCTTAGTTTTATTGAGTCTCTTAATTCCCTCCTGGCTGAGTTGCTGGTAGGATATTTGGTTCCTTCTGTTCTTGACTTCCTATAGTTTTCAACTTTCAGTCTCCTGTGTCTGTTCATGTTTCCTCAGTAAAGTCTTTCTTCCCATTGCTTTTTGTGACTTTTTACCAAAACATATATTTTAATTTTTAACATATGGATGAGTATATACTGGGGCCTTATCATGGTTGTCTCATTTGTCTAGTCTCTAAAAAACTATATATAAATATACTGTGCTTGAATATGTATTTAGATCTTTGGAACACTAAAGAGATGAGCCAAATATTCAAAGAGCTTAGGGGGACAGCAGTGTTGTGCCAAATGTTACTAACTCTTGAGTGACCCCTGAGTTTTAGGAACTGGCTATGTTACTTTGCAGGGTGCTTGATTGGAGTCCTAAAGGGATAGGCTGATTTGATTTGGAGTGAGGAGAAAGCTGAAAAAGAAGAGCAAGCGCGGGGGCACTGTTCATTTACGTAAATTAGACTCCTTTGGGAGGGGTGGGTACTGGAGACAGCAGGGCTCTGCTGTTCTGTAGTAGAGCCTGTCCTATATGTTGGGTTGTTTTGTCAAGAACAAAGCACAGAGATAATGGGCCTCATGGAAGAAGATGTCATTATTAGGAAGGAGACTCAAAGCCAAGGAAAGGAGGTTGTAGTTAACTTCATGGCAGCCGGGCAGTGGTGCTTTAAAGGTGCACACCTTTTATTCCAGGACTCAGGGGGCAGAAGCAGGCAGACCTCTGTGAGCTCGAAGTTAGTCTGGTCTGCAAAGAGAATTCTAGGACAGCCAGGGCTATACAGAGAAACCCTGTTTCAAAAACCAAACCAAAATAAAACACCCCTCCCCCACCCCCCCAAAAAAAACAACAAAGTAAAACAACAAACTATGGATAGCAAATGAACAAGATAGGAAAAATATTTCAGAAAAAATCAAGAATCCGGGGAGGGGAACTGCTAAGAGACCCTTGGGGTCATCTATTTACAAAATACCTTTGTAGGCTGTTCTAGCAGTGGAAGCAAAGAGGAGACTGATTGTGCTTTCATAACAGTTCTTCAGTTTATCCATCCATCCACCTCTCCACCCATCATCCATCCATCAGTCTGTCTGTCCATCCATCCGTGCATCCATCCATCCTTCTAATCATTCATCAGCTGACAATATGAGCAAAGTGGCTAGAATGTGCACCTGGTGTCTGGTTAGGCTCCAGCTCTGCATTGAACTGTAGCACCTTGGGCAAGTGATCTAAAGTTGTGGTCTTCTGTTGTGGTCTCCTCATCTGTACAATAGAGTACACCTAATGCATGATGACTTGTGAGGACTAATTGAGTTGTTGATTAAATAGAGTAGAATTAATGCAGTATGTTGTGAGGGCTAATTGAGTTGATTACAAGTGCTTGAATCATCCAGACTTTAAGATTGCTAACTTACTAGTTAACTATTATCAGTCACTCTGTAGTCTTGGATGCTTAAGAAAGTCATAATACCTACATTTATGGAGATCATGGACTTTTAAGGTACTAGCTATTAAGCAAACAGTTTCCTAAATGGTATAATAATTGCTTCATTAGCAAGAATAAGGTGTTGTAAGAATAAAGAAGGGAACTTAGTCTTGGTATGGGCTATAAATCAAAGAGGTGACCCTTAAAAAATGGGTCTATAGAAGTTAGCCTATAGATGTAAGGATGTATGGATGTAAGGAGATGTTGAATGTCTGAAAAACATGTCTAAAGATCTTGAGGAAAGAAGATGGTTTGCTTGAGGAATTACAAGATGGCATATTTTTCCTGGTAGACTAGACCGTTGGAGGAACCGCCCTTCATAGGGCTTTGATGGCTGGCTTAGGATTTTAGGCCTCATGTCAAATGTAATGGGAAGCTATAGAAAGGCTTTCAACATACAAGGAGAGTTTTTCTTTTTTTCTTCTTCAGCTTAAAGGCTGTGTTGTATATGTTAATAGGGAAATGAATAATTTAGGAGAAAGATGGTATTTGGGTGCATAGCAATGAAGATGGACAGGAGTGCATGGATTTGAGATTAGCAAGACTTATTGAGGGTGAAGGACTGATCAGAGTGTGGAGGAATTGAAGGAGGTGCCAGGTGTGTGGTCTGAAGCAGCATCATCGGGTTTTTGGTGCTGCTTGGAGATGAGCACTGGAGAAGTAGAATTGGGTTGCAGTTCGGGTTTGGGCACACCACGTTAGAGATGTTTTGAGACCTGCTTGAGATACTGAGACGGCAGCCCTGTGCATGCTCCTCGAGCTTAGAGCTAGCTTGGAGCTAAACATGTGAAAATGGTGGCCACAGATGACTGTTAAAGTTAACAGATGGTCTGTTAAAGTTAAGGAGGTGTTTAAAATTGTTTATGGAGAGTGGATGGGTAGAAGAGAATGTTTAGTAGAACTCTAAGGGTTGCGATAAGTCTTTAGAAAAATAGGTGACGGGCTGACTGGTGGAAGTGGGAAAGAACAACAAAGAGACAGGAAAAAAAATCTAGACTTCGTAGTATCATGAAGACAAAGGAGACTGGGGTGATATGGGTGGGATGGTGGTATGGTGGTATGGGTAGGGACCACTCGTGTAAAAGAGGAAAACAAGGATGGATTTGTTAATGTATTGCTAGAGATACTTAGAGGAGTTGGAGGGGGTTGAACTTGAGGTATTGAGTTCGAAGCACATGTGGAGAGAGTGAATGGGTGGTACAAGTGTTTATTTAGTAGGGGAACAGGATGAAGCTGAGTGAGGAAGAACAGGGAGAGGGGCACAGGCAGCTCACACAGGCTGGAGTGGCTGATAGAGCAAATAATAAGAGAGAGTTGTTATGATAAGCTCTTTAGAAAAGCAGGAGGAAGAGGATCCAGAGCAAAGGAAGAGTAATGAGAAAAAGAGTGATGGAGCCACATGGTAAATGCGTACAGAGATTGTGGAGTCCAAAGAGAGAATGTGGTTCTGAGGTATAGGGAGAGAAGGGAAGTGCAATGGCTGTTGTGGAAGGGAAGCTATGTGACTTGTCTAGTTCTCACTCCTGAGGAGAGTTCAGGCACCTCTGCAAAGCTGGCTTTCTCTCCCGCTGTTCCGGATTCCGTTTCCTGCTCTGCCTGGCTGCACTATACTGTCTTTCTCAGCAGTCTTCCTGACTTTTGTCATGACTGTTTGTAGTCCTCTTCCATGTTTCTGTCAAAATGACGTCAAAACAATAGTGAAGAACCTCAGGGGATAACTCAGGTAAAGTGCTCACCCTGGAAGCATGAGGACCTGAGTTCCATATTCACAACCCGTATTATAAAAAAGCAAAACAACCCACCCAGTCATGGTGATGCTTGCTTGTAATCTCAGTGATAGTGAGAAAAACAGATGGATCCTTGGCTCCCTGGCCGGTGAGCCTAGTCCAGTAGCTGAGTTCCAGGATAGAGAGACCTTGTGTCAGAAAAGGTAGTGCTGGTGGAACTGCACATAGGTATCTTTTGATCCGCCTATGCACATATATACCTGTGTACCTGTACTCACACACACACAGGAGCACCTGCAAAACACAAACACTCAAATACAGATGAGAAAACCAGAAAGGCATTTTGTTGCAGACTTTGAAGAACCTTGTACCTCTAGGACACAGAATTTGATCATTTCTAGTGATGTGATTTATCACTGTCTTGTCACTGTTCCTCTCGTGGCTCACTTCTTAAAAAGTTAAGTTTTACGTAAATGCGTGTCTTTGTCATGTGCATGTGCCTGCATGAATTCATGTGCAGCACATGCAGGCAGGGCCTTGCGCAGGCTGCTGGATCTCTTCGGAACCATGTAGGGTCTGGGAACTGAACTTGGGTGCCTGCCAGGTCAGTTAGTGCCCTGAGCCATCCCCCAGCCGCCTTCTCAGGTACGCAGTTGTTTTTAATGGCAGTAGCAAGCAGGCTGGGGGTAGAGCTCAGTGGTGGAGTGCTTGCCTCGTATGTGAAAGATGCCCTGGTTGGACCCCTAGTGCTGCAAACCAAAAACAACGTAAGGAGAAGTTCCCTGCTGTCCCGGACCGTCCTCATCTGTGCTATCGATTGCATGTGCTGATTTCCGTGATCCTTCCCTTGGTCCCCTTTAATATAGGTTTATTGCTTCTTCAGATTTACTTTGAAATGGGAGATTCAAATATATGCACAAAGCTTAATCAGTGTATGTATCATTGAGATTCAGTAACCACCAATAGGTGACCATTTTATTCAGGCTCTTGCCCTCTGACAGTGGATTAATTTGAACCAGATTCTAGCTATAGGTGTTTATATTTGTGTGTGTGTGTACAATATATAATGTAATATATAACTATATAAAAAGCAATATATAAGATGTATGACATTTTATTTGTATTTAAATTGATAAGAAACTTAACTATGTAGTCTTTTTGAGATATAGTTTTGTTTGTGTTGGCCAGATTGCATTTGTTTTTCTTTTGCCTCAGCTCAGTAACATGGACAACAGCAGCATGCCTCCGTGCCTGGTCTGAGAATGCTTTCTTCACAGCATACTTTTAAGACACATTTTTTTGCAGTCATTATTTATAATTTTAATTTTTATATCATATTCTGCTGTCTGAATATAGTAGTCTTTTTCTGTGGATGGCGTTTGGGCCGTTACCAGGCTTTTGTCTCTCTACACGGCCTCTCCTGCTGTGTGGCAGTCTCTCTTGTAGAATTCTAGCATGTATGTGCCCATGTGGGTAAATGTGTGAATAGTCATTAGGGTGTGACAACAATTTCCTCCTCAAATAGAAGAAATGGCTTCAGCTATAGATTCTATCATGTTTATTCTGATTATTATTAAGAGTAATTGTGATAGTATTCTGATTAATAGAATCACCTAGGTAGCTATTTTTTTTTTTCACTCTGTTTATGCCTAGCATATTCTGGGACTGTTAATAATAGACAAGACAGATTAAATTTGTGTTTGTAAGTTACAATTCGGACTGTTTATTTTAACACTCCAGGCCCTTAGTGACTTAGTATAGAGCCTTTGTTTCTCCCTAACCCCAGCTACCCTTCTTGTTTTTCATTTTTCTGCTGCCTGTAACTCAACACAGTGAGTTGTTTATGTAAAAGCGTGATATTATTTTTTGGTTTTGTGGCCTTGCCAGATGTTTTAAGTATGTCTTTTTTTCTTCACTGTTCCCCTCTGAGCGTCAGGACAGACATCACCTGTTTAGGAGGACTTGTTTCCCAGTCAGAGTTGATTTCGTCCTGTGTACTGCTGTAAACTTGGCCTGTATTTGTGTTATGTTTGCTGATTTTCTGGAATGGAAGCCATGCAACAGGAGCACAGCTGTTACAACCTCACTGTCCAAGGCAGTACCTGAAGTGCAGGGGGTACCTAGGTGTAGGTGCTGAGTGAATGTGAAGAAAGAGAAAGTTGGAGGCATATTTTGTAGGAATCTTGTTGAAATTTGATGATAGACTTGATAGTAAATGACAGAAACTAAAAATTCAGATGCGTTTACAAAAAAGCTCCTTGGGAAGCTGGAGGGAATTGAGTTATTGGTGCAGAAGTCAGGGCTAAGTCAGGTAGGCTGTGGAAAATTACAATATAGCTAGTTTTCTGCTTATGAATCAGTCACAGGAATCTACACAGACACACATATATTATATCTTCCAGGTGCAGAACTTGGCAGTGAGGAACCAACAGGCCTCAGCTCAAGGACCCCAAATGCCAGGCTCTACTCAGAAGGCCATCCCTCCTGGAACTTCTCCTGTTTCTGGCCTCTCCCAGGCATCTAGCCAGGCCTTAGCTGTGGCACAGGCTTCTTCTGGGGCCTCAGGCCAGTCACTCAACCTTAGCCAAGCTGGTGGAGGCAGCGGGAATAGCCTCCCAGGCTCCATGGGTCCCGGCGGAGGTGGCCAGGTGCCTGGGGGTTTGGGTCAGTTGCCTTCTTCAGGATTGGGTGGAAGCTGTCCCAGGAAGGGCACAGGTGTGGTGCAGCCCTTACCTACAGCTCAAACAGTGACTGTGAGCCAGGGCAGCCAAACAGAGGCAGAAAGTGCAGCGGCCAAGAAGGCAGATGCAGATGGGAGTGGCCAGCAGAGTGTGGGTATGAACCTGACGCGGACGGCCACACCTGCCCCCAGCCAGACGCTTATTAGCTCAGGTAAGGTGCCACCTTTCATGTCATCACTCAGAAGTAATTTAAAATACTTAGAGTACACCCCTCTCCTCCAGTGGTTTTAAAACTCTTGGCCATGGAATGGCAGAAGGAAAGAGAATCTTGTTGGTCTTGAAGGTACTAGTTCAGAGACAGGGTAATGAACAGATGAAGATCTTACCAGTGTTCTCTAAGAGCTCACTACTTACAAAGTACTGTCTGCTTTCTTTATGTTGTTGTTACTTGTTTCTGCTTTTAGGAGACAGGGTTTCTCTGTGTAGCTCTGGCTGTCCTGGAACTCCCTTTGTAGACCAGGCTGGCCTTGAACTCACAGAGATTCAACTGCTTCTGCCTCCCTTAGTGCTGGTATTAAAGGCTTGCACTACCAATGTCAGGCACTGTCTGCTTTCTTTCTTTCTTTTTTTAGTTTATTATTTTCACTTAATGCTGATGAAATTGACAAATACACCTTTGAAAGGTGGATTCTCTGTTCTCATGTTACTTACAGTGTTGCCTAAAAGCTGAATCCTCACCTCTTGTCAGTGGGTGGTTCAAGCAGCTATAGTGTAAAGATCTAAGGACACGTAAGACCAGCAAGTGGAGCTGTGGCCTCGTGTGGCTGACTTGTTGTTATCTGTAACAACGATAAGGACAAACAGGAATTTAGAATAATCTTAACTCTAGGTGGTGCTTGCTCTGAGACTAGCTCAGATAGAGTTACTGTCTATACTTGGTATTGTTTTTTGTTTGCTTCCCATCACCCTAACCATTGATAGATTTGAATAATTTAATCATAAAGATTACCAATGTTAGATACTTACGTTCCATATTTTGTGTGTTCTTTGGATAGTCTGTGATATGCAGAGACTACCAACTCTAGTCTGCAGCAGAGGACATGGTAGTCAGAACCTCTGTTTGATCTCTTAAGAATCTCTTAAGACTTTTTAGATGGTGACCTAATGTGATGAACTTTAAAAGTGGAGGCATTCATAAAGGATGTTGACACCTTTAAGTCTAGATATTTATTCTTTCAGTGAATACTAAATGCATCTTATGTGTCAACCACTGGAATGGGTTCTAGGGATGTCAAAATGAATAAAGCATGTATTCAGCCTTGAAATAATGAAGAAGGGGTCAGCCATTCTTAGCTCAGTCCTGAGTGAAGGGGTAGGCTGGTTATAGCAAAGAAGAGAGCAGAAATGACGGAAGGTGATTGCTGTTTTAAGTGGTTCCCTCCATGCAGCTTTCCCTCCCTCCCTCCCTCCCTCCCCTCCCTCCCTCTCTTCCTCCTTTTCTCCTCCCTTATCTCTCTCTTTTTCTCTCTCTCTTTCACTACTTGGGGTTGAATCTAGGCCCTGAACATAATGAGCCAAGTTTCTATCACAGAGCTACACTCTAGTCATGTCTTAATTTTTTAACTTTGTATTTTGAGAAACAGTTGCTTAGGCAGGCCTTGGACTTGTCTGAGTTCTCCTGAGTACTTAAGCTTCCAGGCTGTGCCCTTAGTTTTTGCCCTGAGATCTTTGTCCTGGAGGTACTCAGTGATGTCTGACTGAGTGGAAAGAGTGAATAAAGTTCAAATTCCGTGCAGATCAAATTTCCATTCACTGTCTAGTTCCCAGATAATGAGATCAATTTGCATTCATTGATTCTAACATTAGATACATCTTACAAAGATCGTTTTGTTTTTAATTTACAAGGATTATCATTTTCTGCTTTTTCTCCTTTGTTCTGTTCTGGCTTGTTTCACGCATAGCCACATACACACAGATCCAGCCCCATTCGCTGATTCAGCAACAGCAGCAGATCCACCTCCAGCAGAAGCAGGTGGTGATCCAGCAGCAGATTGCCATACACCACCAGCAGCAGTTCCAGCACCGCCAGTCCCAGCTGCTTCACACAGCCACACACCTTCAGTTGTCCCAGCAGCAGCAACAGCAGCAGCAGCAGCAACAGCAGCAGCAGCAGCAAGCAACAACCCTCACTGCCCCTCAGGCACCCCAGGTCCCACCTACTCAGCAGGTCCCACCTTCCCAGTCGCAACAGCAAGCCCAGACCCTGGTGGTCCAACCCATGCTTCAGTCTTCACCCCTGTCTCTTCCACCTGACCCAACCCCCAAACCACCCATCCCCATTCAGTCCAAGCCTCCTGTAGCACCTATCAAACCTCCTCAACTAGGAGCCGCTAAGATGTCAGCTACGCAGCAGCCACCACCACATATCCCTGTGCAAGTTGTCGGTACCCGGCAGCCAGGTACAGCCCAGGCACAGGCTTTGGGATTAGCACAGCTGGCAGCTGCTGTACCTACTTCCCGGGGAATGCCAGGGGCAGTCCAGCCTAGCCAGGCCCACCTGGCCACCTCGCCACCTTCATCGCAGGCTCCTGGTGCACTTCAGGAGTGTCCTCCTGCATTGGCCCCTGGGATGACCCTTGCTCCTGTGCAGGGAACAGCACATGTGGTAAAGGGAGGACCTACAGCCTCCTCCCCTGTGGTGGCCCAAGTCCCTGCTGCTTTCTACATGCAGTCTGTGCACCTGCCGGTAAGTGATGTTTGATTATTTTGAAGGTATTATTACTGCCCGTCCACATCCGAATGGGCTCGGGACTGACTGGAAATAGAACTTAATAGGAGAATGAAGAGTTGAGAAGGTGAATGTGCTCTTTTTTAAAAGAGTAAGAAGTTTATATATGTGTTAAATATATACATATATATATATACATGGATATATATGTGCATATATATATGTACATATATGCACATATATACCCATGTTTATATGTTAAATATATACACATATGTACACATACACAAACACACACATGTAAAATGTCTAAACTTCAAATTCCTAAATTTGTTACTAAGATCTTAAGGTTTTTATACGTACACTAATTGAATCAAGAGCACCTTAATCAGATTTGTCTTTGTAAAGCAACAGTTCTTAGTTGGTCTACAATGAGTCTTTCAGTCCAAGTCAGGACTCAGTGATGTCTTTCTTGTTTCATGTAGAAGTCACGCTAATTGGGAATGGCCAAGAAGTTTAGTGTATCAAAGGGTGCAGACAAATCTGGAAATCTGGAACTGACCGTTATCTAAGGAAGTATGCAATTACAGTTTTCCTTTCACACCTAAATCTTAGGTACTTTCTTGTGCATTCATCTTCTAGAGTAAAGCCCAGACCTTGGCTGTGAAACGCAAAGCTGAGTCTGAGGAGGAGAGAGATGACGGCTCCACACTGGGCTCTGTGCTCCCTGCAAAAGTGTCACCGGCAGCAGAGAGCCCAAAGGTAATGGAGGAAAAGAACAGTCTTGGAGGTGAGTAACCAGCTTCCGAAACCTTAGTGGTGCCAGAGAACTGAGAAGTGAGCTGAAAGCTAAATCTAGTTCAGTATAAAATGGGCCTGAACTTGGTGAGCAGTAAATAATCCAGAAGCGTGGGCTCCATGGTGAAGGCTCACCATGAGTACTTTGTGGACAATCAGGCTGGCTCACTAGGAGGGTAAGCAGTTGTGTCAAATACCTTGTGTGTGTTTGTTTTTCAGAGAAAGCTGAGCCAGTGGCCAGTTTGAATGCTAATCTTCCAAGCAGTGACCTAGTGGCCTTGGCCCCTACCCCATCAGCACCGCCTCCTACTCTAGCCTTGGTGTCCAGGCAGATGGGTGACTCAAAACCCCCACAGGCTATTGTAAAGCCGCAGATCCTCACGCACATCATTGAAGGCTTTGTTATCCAGGAAGGAGCAGAGCCCTTCCCGGTGAGGGCAGCGCCTGGAAGTGGGACAGGGACGGGAGAGTACAGAACTGTTTGATCATTAGAGAGAGGTTCATTATGCTGCTTACTAGTTACAGAAGGGTGAAGGAACACAAGCGGAGTTTGTGGGCTACAAAGTGAAAATATTGGGAACAGAAGAAAAGGAGGTAGCTTTTAAAACTACAGTGTGTAGTTGAGTCTATAAGGTGGCTTTATAATGAAGGAAGCTAGGACCAAAACCCAATGATCTTGACTCTTGGGCTCCTCGCTCCTTTGTGGATTAAAGGACATGATGTGAGGGCACAAGTGTAGGTGACTTAGATGGAAAAGCCAGTGAGAGGTCCTTGGCGGCCACACTGACAGGGCCTGGGGCTGGAGAGACGCCTCAGCAGTTAACAGCACGTACTGTTGTTGCAGAGGTCCTGGGTTGCATTCCCAGCACCCACGTCACAGGCTTGCAGCTAATCACAGCAACTCCAGTGCTTGAGAATCTGACTCTGCGCGTGCGCACGCACCTACACACAACACAGACACACACGCACGCACGAACACGCACACATACACACGCACACACATACACACACACACACATACACACACATACACACGCACACCTGCCTGGGCATGGTGGCGCACACTTCTCCTTTGAGCCTGTAGGTGGCAGAAGAACAGGCAGAGCTCTGAATTCAAGGCCAGCCTGGTCTACATAGCAACTTCTAAGATAGCTGGGGCCATATAATGAGTCTTTGCCTCAACAGCCCTCGCCCCTCAAAAAAAGTCTCAAATTAAAGAGATCCCCTCTGAGCCAGATTTGATTTTCAACTCAGAGCTTACCCAGGCAGGGACATGGAGAATTTGAAAGGCTGTCGAGGGCAAAGGCTTTTAACTGGTCTTTCTCTGGGACAGGTGGGATGTTCTCAGTTACTGAAGGAGTCTGAGAAGCCACTGCAGACTGGCCTTCCAACAGGGCTGAGTGAGAGCCAGTCAAGTGGGCCCTTGGGAGGAGACAGCCCCTCCATAGGTAAGTATTGGATGCCCATGCAGCTACTCGATGGGGGTTGGGATTGGAACCAGGGTCTAGCATACATGCAGCAGTTCTACAACTGAGCTGCATCCCTAGATTCAGTTCTTTTAGACAAGGTCTCACCATGCAGCCTAGGCTGCCCTGTGACTTCAGACTCTCCCTGAGTCTGGGAATCCTAGGCACGGGCAACCACACCACTACCCACACTACCACGCCTGCCCAGTCAGTTCTTGTGCACACATGTGTTCTGCTGAGTGTGTGGCATCATACGGAAGGACTGTAAGGGAGCTTTACCAGGCCATCGGAATGGCTTGGCTTATTTTATACTGTCTTAAGGATATATTCTTCAGTCTTTAATCACAGCACTCGGGAGGCAGAGGCAGGTGGTTCTCTGAGTCCCTGGTCTACAGAGTGATTCCAGGACAGTCAGGGCTACACATGGAGAAACCCTGTCTCAAAACAAAACAAAAAGGACATATTCTTCAGAAGACACTATAGGGTAACAGTTGTGAAGTCCTGGGTTTGATCTTCAGCATTAAATGACTGTATGTATGTGTGTGTGCAGACAAATTATTAGTTTCTAGAACTTACTGTAGATTTTAAAACCCTTTGCCCATGCTTTTTTAAAATTCAGTTTCTTTTTTTAAAAATTTATTTAATTTTTTAAAATTTTATTTTATGTGCATTAGTGTGAAGGTGTCAGATCCCTTGGAATTGGAGTTACAGACAGTTATGAGCTGCCATGTGGGTGCTGGTAATTGAACCCAGGTCCTTTGGAAGAGCAGATGGTGCTCTTGACCACTGAGCCATCTCTCCAGCCTCCTATGTTTTTTTTTTTTAAACTTTTTTCAAAGAACTATCTTTATGAATGAGCGCTCTATCTGCATCTATACCTGCATGCCAAAAGACAGCACCAGATCTCATTACAGATGGTTGTGAGCCACCATGTGGTTGCTGGGAATTGAACTCAGACCCTCTGGAAGAGCAGACAGTGCTCTTAACCTCTGAGCCATCTCTCTAGCCCTTGCCCATGCTTTTAGGCTTTGTCAAGAAGGCTGTTGAGGCTTTCTATGTATTAGTCAGTTCCTTTCCATATTCAGAACAGAATCCCATCTGAAATCTGAGTTGAACCAGAATAAAATGAATAAGAGAGCTAACCTGGAAATCATCTGATGACTTAAGGTTAAGAAGATTTTAAAGGGGCTGGAGAGATGGCTCAGAGGTTAAGAGCACTGGCTGCTCTTCCAGAGGTCCTGAGTTCAATTCCCAGCAACCACATGGTAGGTCCCAACCATCTATAGTGAGATCTGGTGCCCTCTTCTTGCATGCAGACAGAACACTGTATACATAATAAATACATCTTAAAAAGAGGAAAAAAAAAAAAGATTTTAAGTCCCTGTCTCTCCTCCAGAGTCTTGCTATGCATCCCTGTCAGTCTCTGGCTCACTGTATATGTAGCCCAGGCTGATGTTCGGCTTCCTGCCTCAGTTTCCTGTGCCGGGATTACAGGCCTGTACTCTTAATGCCAACCTATATACTTCGTAAGGGACAAGCCTTTAGGGTGTTTGGTTTTAGGGATTTTCAGTTAGGTTGCGTAGGTCTTTGCAGAAAATCCTGAAGAAAATAAGTACACAGCTTGGGGCCTAATAACAAGTGAGGGGTAGGAGAAGTCTGTGGTAACTGAAGAATTCCTTGTTTTTCAGAGTTAGATAAGAAGGCAAATCTCCTCAAATGCGAGTACTGTGGGAAGTATGCCCCAGCAGAGCAGTTCCGAGGCTCCAAGAGGTTCTGCTCCATGACATGTGCAAAGAGGTACTGTGGGCACCAGTCAGTTCACCCTCGTTGGATTTCCTGTTCAGTGTTCTGATCCTTTTTTTTTTTTTTTAATTTTTAAAAAATATTTATTTAGTTATTATTTATTTATACAGTATTCTGTCTGCATGTGTGCCTGCGTGCCAGAAGAGGGCACCAGATCTCATTATAGATGGTTGGGAGCCACCATGTGGTTGCTGGGAATTGAACTCAGGACCTTTGGAAGAATAGCCAGTGTTCTTGAACCTCTGAGCCATCTCTCCAGCCCCTGACCCTTTTCATAGCTGATACGTTCTGTATCCCTCTTTGTTTTTCATTGTGTCCCCCAAGTCAGTATGTTGTTTCCACAGCACTGTGAAATCTTGTGTGTACCCTGACCTGTAGGTACAATGTGAGCTGTAGCCACCAGTTCCGCTTGAAGAGGAAAAAGATGAAAGAGTTTCAGGAAGCCAGCTATGCGCGTGTTCGGAGGCGTGGACCCCGCCGCAGCTCATCTGACATTGCTCGTGCTAAGATACAGGGCAAGCGCCATCGGGTGAGCCACTGTTGCAGAGCCAGCTGGCCTGTAAAATGAATCCCCTCCTCCCAGAGTTCTTTGCTTAGGTAAAAGTTCTGGATACAGAACTCTCAGAACTCAGTTTGCCTGACTGTTGATCCATATTGTAAGAGACTGTCCTGACTGCAAGTCTATGCATCCATGAATCCTTCACTGTACTTAATAATTGAGGGGCACAGTCAAGGCAGTGACGCTGTTCATACGTGAATGGTGCTTTAGAGTAGTTGTGCATCTGTAGATGAAGCACAGCTTTAGGTCACCTATTCAGATAAACGTTTCCATTAGCCTAGTGCAGTTGAGGAGAGAGAAGGAAATAATGGTGGTGCTCTCACTGGGTTCGCTGGTTTGTTTCTCTCAAGGGTCAAGAGGACTCCAGCCGGGGCTCGGATAATTCCAGCTATGATGAAGCACTCTCTCCAACATCTCCTGGGCCACTGTCAGTCAGAGCTGGGCATGGAGAACGTGACCTCGGAAATACCATTACAGCCCCACCCACCCCAGAATTACATGGCATCAACCCTGTGTTCTTGTCCAGTAATCCTAGCCGATGGAGCGTTGAGGAGGTCTACGAGTTTATTGCTTCTCTGCAAGGTACTGGCTGCGGTGGGGGTGTGGGGGGTCTTCAGTGGATCCAGGACCTGGTTCCCTAGGTCATCAGGCCACCTGCTTTCCTACAGTGTAGTTCACTAACTTCCTTCTGGGCCAACACCATTGATTATAGTGTCTGTAGTTTTTTGGTATTTGTTCTTACCTTGAATGAACCGTATTTGTCACTTGGAGTTTTTGGGTATCACTGGTGTATGTGAGCAACTGAGCATACATGACTTTTCCAAAGGAGTACATTAGAAAAGACTTTCGTAATTCACATTCAAGGCAGGGCTGCCCTCACTAAATAAACACCATTACTCTTAGGTATTTGTCTGAATTCTGAGTTCTCAAAAGAAAATGTTGCAGTGTTAAGCCATGCATGTCGTTTTTATCTCTAATGGAGTCATGAAGTTTTTTTTTTTTTTTTTTAAGTTTATTTTTATTTTATGTGCATTGGTGTTTTGCTTACATGTCTGAGTGCTGGATCTCCTGGAGCAGGAGTTACAGTGAGTTGCCGTGTGGGTGCTGGGAAATGAACCCCAGCCCTCTGGCAGAGCAGCCAGTGCTCTTAACCACTGAGCCGTCTCTCCAGCCCCTCAAGAAGTTATTTCTATGCTGCACGGCTTGTCCCTTGCTTGATCCTGTATGGAGCAGCCAGCAGATGACTTCACTTGCTAAACTTTGCCTCAGACCTTTCTACTATTGAACTTAGGACAGTGTTTTGGGATTAGCCATCACTTGGCCCGTTTTAGTTTCTTCCTGTGTCTTCTGATGGTGCCATGCAGTTTCTTATGTGTTCCCACCCTTTCCTTTTAGGCTGCCAAGAGATTGCAGAAGAGTTTCGTTCCCAGGAGATTGATGGACAGGCCCTTTTATTACTTAAAGAAGAACATCTTATGAGTGCCATGAACCTCAAGTTAGGCCCTGCCCTCAAGATCTGTGCCAAGATCAATGTCCTCAAGGAGACTTAAGGTGGCCACAAATCAGCCTGAAGCAGATGCGCTGACTATCCAGGTTATAACCTGGGGCAGCAGACTTTGCAGGGAGGAGCTGTTCCTATTGTGTTAACCCCTTATGGGGATTATGGAGACAGAACTTCAAGAATTGGCTGCTGGTGCTACATGGTGGCAGCTTTGACATTTTCTCTGGGTTCCACTTAAAAACAAAACAGAAACAACACACAAAACCCTTCTCACTCTTCACACCTACCCTAATGTAGTTTCTAAGCAGGCAGACTACAGGCTAGGACTGCTCAGCCTTATCCTGGAGTGGATTGACTAGCAAGGATCTCACCTATCCGAGGAGGAATGGCTCATATGGTAAGGCAAGGAAATGGGTGAACTGTAGACTTGCCTCCCCAGTGGGAGAGGTCGCTGTTCCTAGCTTATGTGACACAAGTAGCAAAACCTGGTGCTTTCCTTCTCTGCACTGTCTCATTGTACTGTAGCTCAGTCTTCTGTTACCATGTTTTCCCCGAGTACTGAATATTTCTTCCTGCGTCCATGGCAGGATCACCAGCCCGTGTGGACACTTGGTTGGTATCTGATTTGCTGCAGGGACTAAAGTGTTTGGCTGGCACATGTCTGGCTGTTGTCATATCTTTCTGCATCCCTGCTCCCTTCCAATTTGTTACCATCTTCAACCCTACCTTTCTTTTCCATTCAACTCTGCTCTGTCCTATAGCTTTACGAAACAGGAGTGTGTGGAGCTGAGGTCAGGTTTGTAAGCACCTGCCTTAGGCACTATTCCTTGTACAACAAAAATATTAAATATTTTTTCTTCCTTAGTAAAAGGATGAAAATTGGTCTGTCGTCTTATTGCATTCCATTCTCGACACAAATGACAAAAGCCAACATGTTTTGTATGTTTTTTAATTATTGTGTTTTTGTACAAAAAGTGGTATATTATTTTCATTTAAAACATGGGGGAAGGATGCAAACAACACATGAGATACGGTTTTTAAAAATAACATTATTTTTCTGTATAGAAAGAAAACAAAAACCCCACTATCATTGCAAAAGTATTGAGAAGTTAGAATGACACCATTTCACTTTCTTCTCTAAAGGTAACAAATGGTCCTGCCTTTACCACATCTCCTGTGTTCAGATTAGCTGTGTTCTTACTTAATGGCCTAGGAATTCACTATTACAGAGAGATCAGCTTGTGAGTCTGGGCACATGGTCTAAACAGAAAGGAGGAGAGGATTAAAACCTTTTCCCCTAGGTGAGAAAGTAAGACACTTCCCTGAGCCAGCAGGAGGGACAGGCACAGCAGTGTTCCCCACCCACAGTAGGGAACTGCAGAGCCCTCCTCGTCCACTTCTGCTCCTGTTCCCTTTCTTTAAGATTGGGAAAAATACAAAAAGCCAAACTACAGACCTGTGAGAAAAGTGCAAAACAAGTTTAGTACTAGTAGAGGAAGTGAGCAAAAACAGGTTTGCCAGCTTTTACTACAAACAGGAAAACCAAGGAGATCCCAACACAAGCTGACACAGGTTCGAGGACCTCCAGAGCATGGTCTTGTTTCCTTTAGGGCTGCTTGATTAGGCGTTTGGGCCTGATATACATACAGATTGGGCCTAACACAGACTTACCACCTCAGTCCAGGGCCCAATTCAAGCTGTTAAGTCGCCCAAAGACATATAAACAATGTGATGGCACCTTAGAGTCCTACAGTTGGGAAGTTTCACATTTTTTCCTGTTCTAATCCCACACAAGGGACAATCAGGTGACTGACTCCAGGCTCAACGCAAACAGGAGTTATTGGGTTACAGTCAGGCAAGCACTGCAAAGCAGCTCTACACAATCATTCTCATGAGACTGCTGTAGGGCAGAAACAACGTGAAGCAAGCAAAGGTACAAGTAATCTTTGCTTTTTTAATTAAAGAAATCCAGTGTCTCAACTTGTGAAAATGTTTAGACAGCTAGGGCCTGTGCCTTTCTGCCTATTTAACTGTCCTTGCTCTTCCTGGGGTGCAAAAGTAGGCCCCCCAGGCCCTATGTCTACCTTCCACACCTGTGCAGAGGAAAATTAATAGGAGCAGAGGGACGCAATTTAGGGACAAATCAAAAGCAGTTGGAAAGCAAGAATTAATGGCAAAGCGAGAGATGAGAAGCGGCGCTTGAGAAGTCTGGTTGAGAATGCTTTGGTTTGGGGACCCAAGAGGCGGTTGGACCTTAAAAGTGCATCACATTGGTAGCAAATGATCATCCCTTTCTTCTGACTCTTCCCCCAGCTGGTCATCCCCAACTCCACGATATGCAGCAGGCACGTTACGGGGTTTTGAGCGGCACACAAAGTCACAGCCATCCTGTAGGGGGGAAAAACAACCATAAGATAATCTTAATTATCTATTTCAGAGTGAAACATGATAAGGTTTCAGACTGTGACAACTGGTTTTCTCCAGGGACCAATAAGAAAGCACCCGAAGTTCAAGGCTTAACCCAAATTAACTGCTACTTACAGCTACCAGGTTGCCAAGATCTTGCCAGAAAGCCAAATGAGGAAACTGCTCCATTCCCTTGGCTCCCACTACCAGTCGCTGGTATAAGAAACCCCCAATGATGTAGACAGCAACCAGTGATGCAAATCTGGAGAGGAAAAAAAAAAAAAAGACACTTAAGATTTATCAACCCTGAAGCAGTAATAGCTATTTAGAAGGCTAAGGCTAACCTTTATATTCAGCATTAGCTGTCCTAAGCTGTATGCTATAAACACAAGCAAAAGGACTCATAGCTCCTCAAAAAACCTGCTAGGAGTGCTATCAGTCAGAAAGACAGTGAGTCTAACAGCCTGGAATTAATAAACAGGATTCTGTTTCTTAATTCTACTGAAGTAATAAATTGGACAGTACTGAAATCTGTCCACCCTTCCTCGGAAAAGCACAAGCAGGGTATGGTGGTGGACGCCTTTAATTCCTGCACTTGGGAGGCAGAGGCCAGCTTAGTCTACATAGTGAATTCTAGGCCAGGCCAGACAGAACTACACAGTAAGAAAAGAAAAAAAAGCATCTCCAAATGCAAATATTTATTTGAACTAAACACTTAATTCCTTTCATTTTTAAAAAGTCAGGTCTGAGAGGCAAAGGCAGGTGATATTTCTTGAGTCTGAGATCAGCTATAGCTCCACAGTTGAGACCATTGAGCACAGACCTCATGCATACTGATCAAACACTGCCACCAAGCTACATCCCCCAGCTTCGTTTCTTTCAACTTGTATGGTCTGTTATTTTCGAGTCAGTCAGCTTTAATTTCGTATATGCAAACACATGGATGGTACTGAGAGGGTAGAAAGTACTCACATGACAAGTAAGATAGAGCCCACACTGAGGTGTGAGGCCTCTGGTGAACAGGCTAGGCTGCTATCCATTTCAAAGAGGTAGAAACAATCTTGAACTTTGCCTCGTTCTTCAGACACTGGGTTAAAATTGTCCTGATGATGAGAGGTCCAAATAGTAATTCTGTATAAGATGTTTTCTTTCAACTGGCATCCAACAAACAAGACTACCCTCAATAAATAAATGAATACCAACCCCTTGCTGTTCCTGGTTCAGTAGCCTATTCTCCTTGTAAGGAGACTCTGGCACACTGAAAATCTGAATTAGTTTTCTCATGTCCACTCCACAGGCCTGTCCTGTTAACCCCCTTCTCTCCGGTCAGTTCTTTGAATCTTCTACACCCCAGGATATCTTACCGCTAGAGTGTGCCGATTGCAGGAGATCATCACCACTGCACGCCGCTGCTCTTTGCCACAGTGGTTGTCGTATTCGTCACCCCCTTTATATATCAGCATGATCCAATTACCTGAGGAAGGACAAGAATAATAGCGCTATGGAGTGCAGGGGAGGCAGAGGCAACAATGGGTAGCAGGGCAGAGTGGAACGAGCCACCGATACTGCTTGTAATTAATGCTAACTGGTATGATCTCTGTATCTGAATGGTAAGCTAAAAACTTTCTTTTAAAAGACGAGTTTTTCCTCTATAGCTTTGGCTGGCCCTAACTAATTATATAGACCCGGCTGGTCTCAGACTTGTGATCTTCCTGCCTTAGCCTCCCAAGGTTTGGGGTTATAGGCATGAGCCACCATGCCTGGCCTTAAAACTTGTTTCTTAACAAAACTTTGTGGTCTCTTGTTTTATATAGTGAAGAACCAGATATTTAAGATTAATCTTACTTTTTACATTAAAGGTGGGCAACAGAATGTGTAAAAACAGTTGCTATCCACACTTTTAATAGTGATGAACATTTTTTCAACACAAAGCAAAGGGAGAAGCCCAAGATGGCACAGATAAATTCAAAGTGGATGGTTTATTGAGTTGGGAATACACTTCTCTTAGCATTTACTATGTTAAAAATCCTTTGCAAAATATTGTTTGACTGACAACCATGTGAAATGAGTATGTAAGGATTCTTTCAACTTTGTACATGAGAAAATAAGATTTTAAAATCAGTGAGCTGGTACCTCAGAACCATCTGTGGTGGTCCAAATAAGAATGGCCCCCACAGGCTCAACTATCCCCGAGGTGATAGCGGACAAACCTCTGACACTATAAGGCTCCAATTAAACGCTTTCCTTCATAACATTACCTCGGTCACGGTGTCTCTTCACAGCACTACAACAGTAACTAAGACACCATCACATTAGAAAATGATAGTTGGGTACAGAATGCACTCATTTGTGTTTTATTTTATTCTTTACGTAGTGAATATCTAGATTGAATAATTTATCTGTTTATGGGAAGAAACCGTACCACAGGTATTCTCTTCCAGCATACTTTCATTACATTGAAAAATACAACTGTTAGTACGAGTAGGAGGAGAAAAATTTCCCCCTTAAATAGACTTACTGGCTTGTCCCTCTGCCCCAAAAAAAGAAATCTTAAAATTCAGTATTGGCAAAATGATTAAGTTGACGAGAGATGGTGGTGGCTGGTGTGGAACTCAAGTATTTGGGTAAGTAGAAGGACTCCAGGCTATGTAAAATTCTGGCTAGATTCAGATTCATTTTTCATTCTCAGTCTTTCACATTCTCTTTTTCCATCCCCTGCCTTTCTTTTCGTGGCACCGAGGATCAAAGCCAGAACGTCAGAGCTTTCTGCTTGTGGGCAAATGCTCTACCTTGAATTGTATCCCCTACGCTATCTTCTTTTTGTGAAAGCTTTGTACTGCCTTCAAACAGTGGCGGCCCGAGCAGCTGTGCAACTAGGCCCTGTGAGTTACAGTCCTCGGTGGCCCAGGTTCCATATAACATGCCGTCCTCAATAAGCGGGGGAAGGCCAACACATGCAGGGTTCCTGGAGGACTGACTTGGATTAGTCGGCAGGAATTATCTTACTTCCATTGAAGACGTGAGTCTCGTTGATTCGCCCAACCACTGTCTCCTTCCCATTGTTTTTGCTGATCTGCACCAGGCCTGCTCCAGAGGAGTGGTTGCCAGCTTCCCGGCATACTCGGAATTTATAGCTGTATGTGTCTGAGCCCTGGCCCACAGTACTCTCAAAACTACAGAGGAAAAGAACAGTATTACCACTACTTTTCATGCTCGGGAAAAGCCAGACCCCTCCTTCTCATCAAAGGCACATTTGCTGATTATGAGTTATTTATGGTCCCACAGGCTGTCCTACTTGTTGATTATAGGAAGTTCAAATATACCACCCAAGACAGCAATACATTCTAGAATACCTATTCTAGTTATGCAAAAATGTTGGCTGTTTCCCCACAGCAAGGGTCTGTCTGTGTTCACGGGACAGTCCCATGTTGAAGGGTCATTTTCATGTTTATATATCTGAAAGTTCCCGGAACTGAGGAAGACATACTTAGACATGTATAAATTTAAATGTGTCTGTGTGATGATTCTAAAGTCTGATTATATGAAGCTGTCAAGTAATGTTCTGGTTTCTACAAGCTGGTGTTTTAGACCCAGCCTTTAGAAAGTGATACTTTTCTGTGGAAAAGATAAGAGAAACACACATGGTCACATGGCTGTAAATTTGCTATCATTAAAGAGGGTAATGTATTACAGTCAAATAAAACTAATACCGCTGAAGTTCAGATCAGAACCTGTATCATTTATGCACTCCTGCCACATTAAGCTGAAGCAAAGTCAGTAAGAGGAGAAGACCCTTAATAAAGACAGTTTCTTAAACACTTACAGGTTCTTCTCATCTACCTTTTGTTAAACAGCGGCCGTAACCTCTCCAGGAGAGCCACCTCTTTCTCTGACTCCTTATCCTTTTCTCCTACCAGGTCACAAGATTTTTCTTCTGTTTGCCAGGATTCTCTCACAGCCAGAGCTAGGAGTAGCAACAACAGTTCAGTCCTCCAGCAGCCGGAGAAGGGGAACATCCTTTTTCAGAGTGTGTTGGAGGTGAAGGCAGGATCAAGAGAGAGAAAACAAGATGAATCACACTACCAAAAAAAAAAAAGTAATGGTATTTTGATTATACGAAAGCATGAATCTGCTTCAAAACAAACTATGGGGCCTAGTACTGTCAGACTCAGAGGCAGTTGGATCTCGGGGAGTTTTAGGCCAGCAAGAGACTTTAGTGAGAGACCGTTTCAATAACCTCTAAAACACAAAAACCCAACAAAACAAACTGTGGGGGAAAGAAGAAGAAAAGAATTATGATAGCTAGGATGCAACCATCTTTGCTTTGTTATTATTTGATGAAAATTTACATTGTAGTACTCCATTTTTATTTTTTGTTTGTTTGAGACAGGGTTTCTCTGTGTAGTGTTGGTTGTCCTGGACTTGGTTTGTAGACCAGGCTGGCCTCAAACTCATGGAGATCCAGCTGCCTTCCTAAGTGCTGGGATTACAGGCATGTGCCGCCATGCCTGGCTATAGGAGTATGCCATTTTTCAAAGTTACATACTAGTTTACAAATAAAGCTTAAGCTTAAGTCAGTGGCCTTCCCTAAAACATTTCAATCATAATTTACACAGATCCTTGACCATGTCTAGCTTGAAGTTATTATGAAAGACGTGAGGTAGAGAGAGAAGACAGACTGTGTTGGATCCTGACATGTCAGTATCCTGGGAGTATCCAATAACCTTTCTTCACATCCACTGGAAGCGCCGTGAAGCAGTGTGAAACGCCCTCAGCACCTTCACTCACCTCAATTACTTAAGCGCCACTTCTCTGAAAAAATAAAATAAAAACAAAAACCCCACCCAATCATAGATGAAAACTCACTGGGTCAAAATGAGGGATCACAAGGCTTCCAAAATCTACCTCAGCCTCTCCCAAGTCACAGATCTCAAGGGCTTCTAGACTCTGGGTGAGTTGGCTGTCTTTCTATACTCTAAAGTTCCCCGTGGGTTCACTGTGTGTTATTCTAACAGCCCTATCCACCCTATGGCGCGTGGGACACATATATCCCCAGATAGCTGTGGATGCAGCCCAACATATTTATGGATGACAATGTCGTCTTTCAGTGTTGAAAAGTTGGGTATCCCCATCTCCTATCCATTAGTAACACTTTAGGACACTGTTATTTTCCAATGGTTTCACAGTTTTTTTCCGAGACATTTTACTCTTCTGGACTCTCCTCACAACAAGAAAATGAAAGCTCAGACTCTGTGATCTAAGTGCATTTTCCTTCTCCCTGAAACTCACATCTGAGCTTCTATTTCCCACATGCAAGGAGGGGACAACACACGCTTGGGAACTTACCCACCTGACTTCACAGACCCCAAACATCAAATCACTACAGTAATACAAAACAAGGCATTTCCACACAGTAATTACAGGTAGTGGAGGGGTCAAAGGCTCTTCTGATACATCTCAAATATGAGACAGGACATAGTAGAGTGACAGTCTTCGGCTGGGCACTGCCTGAAATACTTAATTTACATTAACTAACCAATCCTCCCCAAACCTTACACAGTAAAAGCGAACTGCCTCTATATCACAAATAAAAACCAAACAACAAAACAAATACCACGGACAAGGATAACGCATAAGCAAGACAGCTGGCTGCAGAGCTCAAGGTACATGCGTCACTGTCACCTACATCTTCCATCGTAATTTTCTGGGATGCGAGGGGGGGAGGGGGGAGATCCACACAGAGCTGCCCTTTCTTCTCTTCAAAACAAGGCAGGAAGGGGAAGTAGGCTCCTCATGGGGTTAACTGGAGTGTACCTAAGGCTTAGGCTCTGGCCTTCCCTAAGCTCACTTGTTGCTCAACATGCAGCTTAACCAGTCAACTCACTGAGGGCGCCTTTGTGGACTGGCTGGCTGCCACCTTCCTCAAGCTCTCTCAGGGTCTAACTTAAAATGTTAACATTCTGGGCTCTGAAGATTTGTTCCCCAGGAGCGTATTCTGGAGGAATGCTCTCAGAGAATGAAGGCTGTGCAGTCTGGCCTGAAAGTTAGTTCCTCATTTGTTAACTGTTGCTGCTTTCTCTTCCCAAAACAGGGAAAAAGAATTTCACAAAACGGGGGACAGGAACGAAGGATTAAAACAAGCTGCGGTGGGCTTCAGAGGAGCTGCGCTGCTTGTCATCTGCTTGTTTGTTCAGAAAGTTGGAAGAATACTTCTCCATTCTTTCCAGCCTAAGACCTGACTGTAAGTTTGAGCAGCTTCTCTTTGATTCGGTGTGGTGTAAGCCCTGAACTGTTCCGTATCCGAGAAGAGTGGAGATGAGGGGACTGACAAGAGTTGCCTACGGAGTTACTTGTCCCAGGTCACACAAATATGAAACGAGTGCAGTCCCTGGAGCAACCTGGATGACTAATGACACGAAGGCGTTTGTCGGCGAACTTCTGATACACACGGGCCCAAGGAGAGGACAGTATGAAGCTGAAGTTGGGCAGTCTCTTTTTAATGTGGTCAAACAGATCCTCAAAGTGCAAGCACTTGTCTCGATGTTGTGAAACAGGATCTTATGATCTTGACAATTCCCCTTCAACTTTCTAATTCTATAGAGACAGATCAACTGGCAATGCTGAAACCTCCTTCTTCACGGGAGGGCCAACGACTAAGTTAGGGACTGGGAAACGGCTGACATCACTTAGTCTTGCACTCACGGCCATTTTCCATGTTCTAACGGAGGGCTTTATTTTCTTCCTCCCGGTTCAACACTTTTTAAAGATCGGTCTCAACTGGCAGAGAGGCCCAGTGCTGAAAGTGCCTCAAGGAGGTAGTTCTATGCTTCAAACTCCTCACAAGAAGAAACACAAGAAACTCCCTCAGTTGTTCTTTTCCATACCAAGCTAATAACACTTTCCCCGAAACTTCTTCCAGGATTCTGGAAATCCTCGCCTTCCATCTGCTCCAAGCCACACCTTCCCCCAAACGACGCCACGATGCCCTTTTACCCCCACGATACAGGTCAAAATTCTCTCCACAAGCATTCAGTAACACTTCGCATGTTTCCACAAGTGGGCACTTCCCCCCCTCATCTTCACAACATCTTCAATTCCTCTCTGGTCTTGGAAGTCCTCCTCCCCACTCCCAGTAGCCTGACGCTCTCCGTCCTCACGCCTTTCGCCTCCATTCGGCCCTAGGGCTCCCTAGCAGGACCTCCACGCTAGAACCAGGGCCAAGTGAGCCTCCTGGTCTCCTCTCCGTCCGCGGAGAAGCGTGCAAGGACCCCAGCCCGCCTCCTCCACGCCCCCCACACTCACGTGTCTGGGGAGAACGCAGCAGCCGAAGCTCAGAAGGCCCCAGGAATGTGCCTCTGGGGTTGGGAAACGCAGCCGGAGAGCGGGGCTCGGGGGGCGCAGACCCCAGTCCCTTGGTTCCTGTCTGCGGCCAGCGCTCCCCTCCGTGCTGCGCTGCGCCCCGCTCCAGAAACCGGAAACAGGAAGCGGCGGGAGGCTGCTGAGCAACTGCTCCGCCCACCGGACCCCACGGCATGTGACCGCAGAACCTCCGCGCTCCGTTCTTCCCTCCCAACGCTGATTGGTCAGCAGCCTAGTTCGCTCTGCCCCTGTCCCATCAACCCCGATCCCTCCGAGGTCACGAAGATCCGTTTCTCCTCTTGGGGTCGCCTTTCTACCGGTGAGGCTCGAGCCCCGCCTCCACAGACTCCCGGCTGGCGCCCCCCCCACCCCCCCGCCGCTCACGCGGGGGTCACGCGCCAACTGTCCCCGCGCGCAGGGCTCTCTGGGAATTGTAGTTCCTAGGGCTCTTCTGCGGCCGTGGGGCGCTTCGGTGAGGTGCTGTTCTGCCGTCCGCCGCCTGGGGTCGCTCCGGGTCTGCAGTTGACTCAGCCACCGGGACCCCGGAACGTCAGGGTCCTGCGTGTCCTGGTTTTCTTAACCCCTTTATTCAGAATTTTCTTGTTATGTCGGGACGTGCTATGGTTACCGTCACCTCCGCAATGGCTCTGTCCCCTGGTAGCACCTTGCTACAGAAGCACACTCTCTTTATCAAAGGTGCCTGCCCTCCCTGGGGGTGCCGATCCTCTAAGGTTCTTCTCGGGCTCCTTGGATTTATTAGCCGCTGTCTGAAGCCCTACTTGCTCTTACAACTCCGTCTGAAACTTAATTATTATGGCTTCCCGGAGTCACTCCCCAGGTTCCTAATTTCTTCCTCTGAAAGTTCTTTCGGCTTTTGACTCTTACAGACCTCTTGTCTGCACTTCCTTCTGCTTAAATAAAAAGTATTGTGTTTGAAACTGCTGTCATGTCCCATACTTTTTTTTTTTTTTAATAAAGGTTAACTTAAGAATTTTAATACATTTTAATCAAAATATAATGACTTCCCTTTCCTTCCTGTCTTCAGTTCTTCCAAAGACCTGGCTTTTTCCACGTCCTTCCTCAAAGTGATAGCCTCTTTTTCTTTAGTAATCAGTGTTACATATTATATGCGCAAATACATTACAACCTGCTGAGTCTATTTTTGTTGTTTGTGTGTCTATGGTTTTGAGGATGATCGCTTCATATGAGATAGCCACTTGGGGGCTCATCTCTTCCACAGTCATTATTTTCCTGTGGTTCTTGGTTTAGGGGTGGGGCATGTAAGCTTCCTCTCCTTCTCATGTTAGCATATCTGTTGATAACGCTGGGGGTTCAGATCTTGCTTATGCGGCCATTTCTATGATAGACTGGTTCACATCACACTTCCTGGTATTCCAGCTCTGACAGTCTTTCCAGTCCCCCTTTTCCTCCTGGTCCCTGAGCCAAAGATGCAGGAGCTGTTATGCAGAGGTATCATCCCCTAGGGCTTGTCAGTCTCTGCTTTGTGTCCTGTCATGGTTTTCTGTGATGCCCTGTCGAGAAGAGCTTAGTTGATGTGAGGCAAGACTACGTTTATCTTTGGGCATATGGATACAATTTAGAGTGCAGATAGGAATTATGCCTACTTCACAAAGTGGCAGCAAATTTTCTTTCTTTCTTTTCTGTTTTCTTTCCTTTTTTTTTCCCCCTTTCGGTTTTTCAAGACGGGGTTTCTCTGTGTAGCCTTTGCTGTCCTGTACTCACTTTGCAGACTAGGCTGGCCTTGAACTCATAGAGATTGAATTGCCTCTGCCTCCCTGAGTGCTGGGATCACAGGCGTGCGCCACCTCACCCAGCTGTACATCTTCTGTCATCCGTGGTCTCACTAGCCCTGGGAAGTTGGATAGGTTTCTAGTACCAGCATGATTTCCCTCCTGCTGAGTGGGTGTGGGTCTTCTAACTAGACAGCCGTTGATTACCACCAATGTGTAAATGGCGCTTACTGTGCCTTCATGGATTTCTTGCTATGCTGGTCGTTGTCGTGATTTATAGGTGTCACAGCTGGGAGCAACTGTTAATGGCAGCTTGCATAGTGTTTTCTGGAACCACGGAAATTCGACCTCAGGAAGGAGGCTTTCAGGTCAAGTCCAGCTCAGATAGTCTGAGCCCTGTATCCTGAGGGTGTGTCTTCAGCAGTAGGGGCTTTCCTTCAACCTCTAAGAGGCAACCAAGGGCCACAGCCATAGTCTATCCTGTTTTGGGGGTCCCTTGGACTGCCCTGACCAACGATTCATGCTTTCTACTGGGGGCTTTTGTTAGCCTGTGGTTCTTAGGCACTGCCAGCCCAACTGGCATAACTTCCATATATGGGATGTGTGTAAATATGTGTGTAAATATGTATAATTTTAGGTAAATACGAAATAGTGCAATTCCATGAGGCTTTACTTAAAAGCCTTGGTGTTATCTGTTCCTTCTCCTTCTGTCTCCTTCTGTGTCGAACTCCCCCCTCCACTCAACTGAAACCTCCTTCCCATTTTTCCATTTCCCACATCGTCTCACCCGAACCCTGTTCCAGTCTCAGGCATCCCTCCCCCACCCCATGGTCCTTTTAGAGTTTCTTGCTGCTTTGTCATGTGTAGGCGCTCACATCTGAAGATATGGAGCTAGGAACCACAAATAAAAGAAATGCAGCCTTTGACTTTCTGAGTCTGGTTTACCTGCTAAACACCATCTTTTCTAGATCCATCCATTTACCTTCAAACTTTCTGCTCTCCTTTTTCTTTACAGCCGAATAGTATTTCACAGTGTACATGTACCACGTTTTCACTATCCATTCCCCTGCTGAAGGACATTTAGGTTGTTTCGTCCATTGTGAACAGAGCGGCAGCTGACATGGCTGTGCAAGTACCTATGAAGCAGAATGCTGAGTCACTTGGGCATCTGCCAAGCAGTCGCGTAGCTGGCTCATATGGCTTGGGTGTTGGTACTTACTGAGACATGTGGACATGTAGTCACTGTGTAGACCTGGTTGGCCTGGGACTCACTAGCTAGACCAGGCTGGCCTTAAAATTATAGAGCCCTGCCTGCTCTGCCGCCCGACCACACCTTTTAATAAGTAGTTACTGGAGTCTTCACTTAAATCTTCACACCAACTTTATGAGGAAGTGTTTTGTTTTACAGATGAGTAAAGCTAAACCAGATAGAGGCAAGTGTGTATATGTGTATTTGTATGTATTGGTATTTGTTTTGTTAAAATTATTTTGTTCCTTTTGTTTTTGCTACGTAGCCCAGGGGGGACTGGGAGTTTGAGATCTCTCTTCCCTCCTGAGTGCTGAGATTGTAGGCATGCATCTCAGAGCTGGCTCACATTTTTTAATTGGTACATTCATTTTAGGCTTGGTAGGTATGCGGGCTGGGCACTGGATATTTTCTCAGGAGTGAAAATATGTGGGGGAAAAAAACCCACTGAATTTGTAATAACAAAAGTAGTTTGGTATTCAAAAATAGAACAAACAAAATAGCAACCATACAATAACTCCCCTAAAAGTTGTATATTTCCTTAAAAGATGAAGTTACTATTTTTTTTTTAAATTTCTCCATATCTTTAACTTTACAAGTAAAATTTTTTTCTTCAATTTTGGCGTTCATATTCTGGGCCTTCACATGCCAGACAATCACTTCTACATTGCCAGGCCCACAAATAAACTTTTTAATAGTTACCTGTTATTTAGCTTCATAGATTACTGCTTAACCAATGGTACTTATAAGTTGTGTGTTTGAATTATTTCTGACTTGCTTACTTTAATCAGTCACCCGGCGAATACTTAGGGAGCAATTACTATATGCCAAAATTTGATGACAAAGTGCAGAACAATCCTTGTTATAATAAGCTTCCATTTGAGAACTGATATTCTTTTTTTTTTTTTTAATGTTTGAATTTTTTTGTACATGTATACAATGTATCTTAGGTCCTTCCAATTTCCCTTAGGATCACTTCCAAAATATCTGTCTCCCAACCTATATAATCCCCCCAATAATTCACTGAGTCTAATTAGGGATACTCAGGTGCACATGGATATGAGGTAATTCTCCCATCACTGACAATCTAACAGCAGTCACCTGCCCTGAGGAAAAACAACTCTCCCTTTCCTGCTAGCCATCAACTGCCATTAGGTCCTCAGGTAGGCGTGGGTCTTGCATGCCTTCCTCTCAGACTGTAATTTTTAATTAGTGTGATTTTGTGCTGTTAACCACAGTTGTTGTGAGTTCATGTTCAATAGCTATGCCATTTCCAAAGGACAGCCTTTCAAATCATTTCTCCTCCTCCTCTTCTTTCTCTTTCTCCTTCCTCTTCTTTTTCCTCCTCCTCATTCTCCTTCTTGTCCTCCTCCTCTTCTTCTTCTTCTTCTTTTTTTTTTTTGAGACAGGGTTTCTCTGTGTAGCCTTGCCATCCTGAACTCATTCCGTAGACCAAGCTGGCCTTGAACTCACAGGTATCCTCCTGCCTCTGCCTCTAGAGTGCTAGTATTAAAAGCATGTGCCATAACCAGCCACATTCCTCCCCTTTTTTGCCACCTCCTTCTTCCAAAATGTTCCCCAAGTTTGGGAGGCAAGGGTTGACACAGATATCCCACCCATGATTGAATATTCAGCCACTTATTCTCAGCATTTTGACAGTTATGAGTCTCTGCTTTGACCTCTAGCTAATTCAATAAGAAGCTTCCCTAAGGTTGAGAGCAACGCAACTCTAGGAATATAAACATAAATATTTGGAAGGCAGTTTGACAGCATTACTATTTAGTAAAAAGATTTTATCAGGTTCTCCCCTAGGGCCTGTGCTTTTCCCAGCTGTGGGTTTCAACAATGTTTTCAGTATCAGACCTTAATTTCCTCCTGTGGGACCGGCCTCACATCCAATCAAGAGAGCATTTGTTATCCCCTTTATCAGCTTTGCCACTACTACACTGTTGTGTGGCATATTTCTTAACTTTGTAACATTCCCTCCAAATGGAAACATTTCTTCCAGGACAGAAGCGAAGACCCAGGCGACTCAGGAGGTAAGCCAAAGGTCACATGTACCACAGAACACAAACTTGGAAGATTCATGAAGGCCTTTACCAAAAATGTGAAAAGAGGTAGACAGTTGCTGGGGTAGACTCTGACCAGCCAAATTAAGGTAAGAAAGAGATGTTTGGATTGACTAGGTAGGGAGCTCCAGGGCTGTAGGTTTTAGGAGTCGTCACCTATGTTGAGGTAGGCTTTCTGATGATGGAGCGGCTTTTGAATTATCCCTGCTTCTT